GTTTCACTAAGCCCAGCTCATTACACATTATTTTCTTCAAAAACACAATGGGATCAAATCAGGCCTGGCCTCAACAGAGCTGGTGCACATCAGTGAGAATGACTGCCAGCCAGCCAGCGTGTGGCCCCTTGTCCTGTCCCCAGATCTGCAGGGGGGAGGAGGCGGCCACATCGCCTCCCGTGGAGACTGCTCGTCAATGACGCTGGGATATGAACCCATTTGCCTTCCCATTAGAGGGCATCTGAGTTACTTTGGCCAAAAATGCATATGGTCGTCCATGGGAAGAGTTTTTAGAGTCTTCAGTGAATCAAGAAGAGACACGAAAGAGGTGGATAAAAAGTCTCAGACTATGTAGGATTTCAGAAAAAGTGAAGAGCCAGGCAGGAAGCAGAGCAAAGCCTCTGAGACCCTGGGCAGGTCTGACCTTTCCTCTCTCAGGAGCGCAGAAGCAAGAGTAGGGAGATGTGCGAGCCAGAGGGCTCCTATTTTGATTTGTCCCTCTGCCACTGACCACATGTACTTCGGGATGGCTCTCCAAGGCTTTTGGCAGTGCTGGAGGGGAGTCTGCACTCATACTGTAATGCTGATGACTGATCAAGCTAATAATATCAGCTATTTGACACAAAATAGGCATTCATGACTTTTTCTTGTGATAAAATATGTATAATAAAATTGACCGGGTAATTTTTTAAAGTATGCTTTCTGTGATATTAACATTATGATGCTACTATCACTAGTAGCTATCTCTGGAACTTTTTCACCATTCCCAATTGAAATATTGTTTTTGTTTTGCTGTAATTACTGGGGATTGATTCCTACAGCCTTTGCAATGAGCAACATGCTCGGCCCCTTTTAAAAAAAAACTTTGTTCTTCTTTTGCAAGAGTCTCACTAAGTTACCCAGGTTTGACTCCAATTTGCAATCTTCCTACCTCCACCTTCCAGGGTGCTGGGATTACAGGAGTGTGCCCCCATACCTGGTTTGGCACTGTTAATTTTTTGCTCCATTAGCTGATTTGGATCATAGTCCTAAGTTTCTTAGCATGGTTCCTAGTGCAGAACTAAAGCTACAACATCAGGAAGCATGGGACCTATTTTTAGCTTTGGAATTTTGTTTTTGAGCCATTTCATGTGTATTGGTTGATATTTTATCATTTGCACTCTTTCTCAGAAATCTTTCAAAGAGCAAAGAGAAAATCTTTTTAAAACCAGTAAGAATCTGGGTCCCTTGATGCCTTCCCGTAACCCCAGCTACTTGGGGGGACTGAATCAAGAAGATGGCAAGTTTGAGGCCAGCCTGTGCTATATAGTAAGGCCTAGACTCAAAAGTATATAAAATTACAACTAATAAACATTTTAAAAGTTAAAAAATATAATGAGAGAATAAAACTGATTCTATCTTGCAATTATTTTACAAATCTAAGATATATTTTGGATACCAGTGGTTTTGTTTCCTGTATTTTGAAACATTTGCCTATGTATTAGCATAGGCTTGATTTAATCTTTATTCATCAGTTATTGCCAACTATGCTCAAAAATGCAGAAATAAAATGAAATGTATTAAAAGTTAATACGACCATGAAATAAACTATCGGTATGACATCACCTTTAAATTTTCCTGTTGTCCTGCCCCAAGTATCCTGGCATTCTAGAACAAAGGCACCATCTTGGTAACCTCTTTATCCTCCAGTAAACACCTCTAGCCATGGCAAAAATAGGGAAACTTACAGAAGAAGATGTTCCATGACTATTCTATAAATCCTTAGAGATTTCATATAGGCAAAATCTCAGCCTACAAGTTTTCAGATGATGATATCCTAAATGAATTTTCAGAAAGTCTGGACATGAGTTGACATTCTATTCAGAAAGAGAGAGAGAGAGAGAGAGAGAGAGAGAGAGAGAGAGAGAAAGAAAGAGAAAGAGAGAGAAAAGAAAGATGCCATCAGATTAGTCACTGAACAGGAAGAACTTCATCATGCAGTGTTTTGTAATAAGAACCTGGACCATCATACATTGCTACAAAGATATGTGACAATATTCTTTTGTCCTGCATGGTACTTGTACAACAAAATTTCTTGCTATGGATCATGAGAGGACAAGGTAGGTTGAACAGAAAGATAAATGCAATGAAATCGATACTGTGGAAACCAAAAATAATCAGTGGAGTTAATTATTCTAACGATGCTTATGAACCTAAGTATGAAAATGAAGATGTATACTCTCTCACTAACAAATCAGAGACCATCAAAGTTTCCAAACATAGCTGGACACAGTGGTACACAATGTCAGCTCGTGGGAGGCTGAAGTAGGAGGATCACCATGAGTTCCAGGCCAGCCTGAGCTGCACAGTGAAAACAAGGCCAGCCTGAATTATATCACAAGATTTAGTCTCCAAAAAAAAAAAAAAGGAAAGTTTTGAAAAATATTTTGATAATATAGCCACAAGAAGATAAATTCAGAAGTGACGATAAGCGAAACCCTTCAGAGATATATCTGAAACACAGAATCATAATTACAAAATAGATACATTTCAGGATCATGTATGACAGTTGGTGACCAGTTAATGGCATTCAAAGGGAGTTTCCCATTTTAAAAATGTGGACTTCTACATAAAAAAATTGGAATTTTCTATGTTTAACATTTTTATTGACCATTCTAGTAAGATTTTTTCATAATAATTCTGGTTTTATTGCTGTAAATTATTCATAAAATGAGTAAAATATAGGAATATTGAGAGCCCATTAGACATAATCAGTAAATAGTGAAACCTATGGCTGGTATACTAAGGATTAAAGATTCAGTGTTTTTGTTGTGATTTTCCCTATCAGTATCACCAGAATCCATGAAGTTTCAATAGGTTTTGTAGTCTGAAAAAGAGACCACGTCCTGTGTTTCACCAAGCGGAAAGGACTGCTAGGTGGCAGCAGGTCTGAGGCCTCCCTAGTGAAATGATACCAGCAAGCTTCCCCACTCCAGAATGGAAAGGGCAGACACGCGGGCCTGATGCGGCCAGTGAGAGGGAGCCCACTTCCTGTAGTGTGGGTGAAACACGAGACCATATCAGCCCATCTTGCTGCCCAGCACCTACATCCTCTGATTCACAGAAAACTGAATGGCCATGAAAAGATTTGGTCTAGCACTTTCCCTGCCTTTGAAGATCTCAACCAAAGAAAGAAAGAAAGCAAGAAAGCAAGAAAGCAAGAAAGCAAGAAAGAAAGAAAAAGAAAGAAAGGCTGTAGCCCAAGTGGTTACCTTTATCCTTTCTGATTAATGGTTGTAACTTTTAAAGATGAAGAAAAAAATGAGAAATGACCATTCCAAAAAACCATAATACCAAATACAAAAAAGAATACCAAAGGAGTCAAAAATAAAAGAAAATAATAAGGTAGGGTTTCTCTAATAACTCTGAAGAGAAAAATCTAAGAAAATGAGTGAAGATGAAAACTCAGAGCTTCAGATATTTCTATATACACTTAAAAATTTATTTTTAAATGAGTGAATGTTACTGCCAGGGTTCATCTAGTCTTAAGGAGACAGAAGAAAGAGAAATGACTATGAGGCCATAGTTGGTCCCCATGGAGGAAGCTATTCAAGCAGTGGGAAAAAGTCCTTCTAAAAAAGCATGCAGCTTAAGCCACTCCAAAGCTGGGAGAGAAAAAACTTGACCTGGTAAGGTCCCTTCCAATTAAGATATATTATGTACAAGTACAAATTCCCCATGATGAGTGAGATCATTATGTATGGCAAAAAATGTGCTAATAAAAAAAATAAAGAAAAACAAACAAGTTCACACAATAGGCCCCAAAAGTAGAGGGCTTGGTGTAAAAAGTCAGCATTTCCTGGGGGGAGACTATTTAGCTTGACTAAAATTAATGGATCATTTGTAGAATAACGGGTAAGTATGGGTTAATGGTGACAGCAGTGCCCAGCTGCGTGGGTATCTTCTGTTTGTCCCTGTGGATCCCTTTGAAAGCTTCCCTAGCCTTCCTGCTGCCCCAGGAGACTACCCCAACAAAACCTCAAAGCAGGCTCCTGTAGGAATTGCAACAGCTGAGACTGACAGGGTCTTGTGCCAGCGGGAGACTGCAGGAGGGGTATCGAGCATAGGGTGGTGATGCACTTTTTTGCTCCCTGTGGAGACCTGATAGCTGAGTCCAACTAAAGGCCACTGCTGTTGTCAAGGTGGCCCCATCTGCATAACCTCTCCCTTCCCAGATTCTGCAAAGTCCTCTCTTCTCTTTGCCCTCCAGGCCTAGGGGTGATAACAGCTTTTTTTTGCCAACTCAAGGATGTGCTCCTTGTTCTTGGGCTTATTATCCCTGCTTGCACTTAGTAAACAGCCTATAAAATCCCTCTCTTCTAACCACTTAATTTGAATGTGTGTCTGTGTTTTGCTGGGACCCTGACTCTTCCTCAGAATTTCAAGAGAATCAGAAGCAACAGTGCACATGCATAAGGGACCTGACATGTGCTGCGTAATCATACAGTAATATTTCATCCGCCTCTTTTGATTCACTCACTCCTCTTTTTCACCACTGGCTAACCTTCTTTCTAGTCAGAACTTCACCTGATTCTTTAAAATAGAATTAGAAAACTTTTCATGCAAAGAGTCAGATTGTATTTTAGCCCTGTGGGCTCCATAGTTGGTTTTGATTGCCCGACTCTGCCCTCGTAGAATGAAAGCAGCTGCCCACAGCAAGATAGAAATGAAGGGGCACAGCTATGTTCCAATATCCCTTTATTTATGAACACTGAAATTTGAACTTCATATAATTTTCATAGATCATGAAATATGATTCTTCTTTTGATTATTTTTTAGGTCATCTGAAAATATAAAAAAACATTCTTAGTTCAAAAGTTGTTCAAAAAACAAGCAGCAGGCAAGATTAGGCCTCTGGGCCATGGTTTACCAAGCCCTGCTTTCACAGAGTTGTACGACTTGGCATTGCTGTAGCACCAGGGAACTTTTATGTCCTGAATTATTATTCTATATTTTTTCCATTTTCCTATTTTTAAGACTTTACAAATTCATTCTTGAAAGCCATAGCTTGCTTACTCTTTCCCATAATCTTTGCCAACTGGCTTTCAAAATCCTCTGCCATAGCACATTCAATCCACTTCCCTCCACAGGACCTTCTAGGGCAGTGCCCTTGAATCTGTTCCCAATCTAGAAACCCATTCCAGCATTTTTCATCTAGGAAAAGGCTTATCCAGGATGAGCCCAGTGCTATCCACTCCATACGGATGAGAACCCTAGTGTATGCAGACAGTAAAGTTAGGAAGGAGATTAGGTTTGTTTTTGCAGGACTCTACCTGATCATAGCTATCCTGGGCTTGTTTGTACTCAGGACATTTACTAACCTTCTGATTATTTCTTCTGGCCTCCCTTTTTGAAGAGCCATCTGGTCAACCTGATCAGACACACTGGTAGGTTTTCAGGTGCTTCTCTATTCCAGCAGCCATGCAGTAACATACAGTCAAAGAGATGCTTGAATTAAATCAGGATTTTCAAAATAATTACTCACCCAAAGCAGTAGGTTTCAATCTGGGTTACATGTTTCAATCACCTGGAAATGCTGATAATATACAATAATTAACTTACAATAATTAAAAATTTTATCTGCAACTTCAAAAGCTACACAGGTGATTATGGTGCAGGGAAAGGGTTGAGAGTCATATTCTTATGGTCAAAAAGGAAATTTTCTCACAGTTGAAGGAAGCCAGACTATACCTATTCTTATCATGATCCCTTTTAATTTTTGTTACTCTGTCATGCAAAGCTTCAGAAAGAAAGCAATTGAAACAGTGGGATTGAAGTAAACAATTTGGTGCACCTAAATTGTGGTTGCATTTTATTAATTACCCTTCATTCATATATTTGTTCATCCAAGATCATTAAACTCCAATTTTGTGCCCCACATTTTGCTAATACTGTAGACACAAATACAAGGAAGATAGGCATGGTCTCTGCCTGCATGGAGCTTACATTCTCTTTATCAATACATTTTTAATCATATGAATTAATGGGATACACCACAATATTTCCATACATACATACATTATGTTCATCTACCAGGAACATGCTCAGCTCCTGCACAATTCTTAGTTCCCAGAAGTCCTTCATACTTTCTTTCCTTTTTTTTTAATTTTGAAAGTAGTAAAATACAACAGAACCAGACAGAATAAAGCCAACTGAGGCCGTGTAGTGAAATTGGTACAGAACTTCATAGCAGGTTACCGGGATAACAGTAATAGGTATCACAGTATATTTTGTTATCTTTACAATAGTTGTTCTTTCAATCACGTATATCAAAATAAAAAGAAATACAGAACATTATAGAACTTATCAAAACAGAATATTGAATAGAGCAGTACCATTAATCAGAATAAAGGAAAACAGTAATAAAAATATTTGGCTTCAAAGAGATGATAGAAGGAAATCCCCCTTATTTGCTGTGGTCAACCTCCCAAGAGATGCTCAGATTTCTGGTTCCCATTTGCTAATGGGGGGACAGGGGAAGAGGGTAGGGGAAGTGGGATGTTTGACTCTAGGCCATGCACCAGTAGGTTCACTACTGCTTAGCAGGGAGTCAGGCTAGTTGCTTGGTTTCCTGGCGTCCTAAGTTCCAACATGGCGTGGATCTCAGGAGTTGCTGGTGGTTCTTCCCCTGGAAGGGTCACAGTCTACCACACCACAGTGGTTTACCAGGGAGGGGAGCTGCTTGCTTGGTTTCCCAGCATCCTAAGTTCCAACATGGCACAGATCTCAGAAGACTCTGATGGTTCTCCCCTGGAAGGGCTGTAGTCTGCCACACCACAGTGGTTTACCAGGGAGGGGAGCTGCTTGCTTGGTTTCCCAGCATCCTAAGTTCCAACATGGCACAGATCTCAGAAGACTCTGATGGTTCTCCCCCTGGAAGGGCTGTAGTCTGCCACACCACAGCAGTTTACCAGGGAGGGCAGCTGCTTGCTTGGTTTCCCAGTGTCCTAAGTTCCAACATGGTGCAGACCTCAGGAGTCACTGGTGGTTCTCCTCCTAGAAGAACCACAGTCAGCCACACCACAGCCGTTTACCAGGGTGGGGAGCTGCTTGCTCGGTTTTCCAGGGTCCAAAGTTCCAACATGGTACAGATCTCAGGAGACACTGGTGGTTCTCCCCCTGGAAGTTGCCACAGTCTGCCAGAACCACTTACCAGGGAGGCGAGCTGCTTGCTTGGTTTCCCAGTGTCCTAAGTTCCAATACAGCATGGGTCTCAGAAGACTCTGGTGGTTCTCCCCTTTGGAAGGGCTGCAGCTGGCCACACCACAGCCGCCTACCAGGGAGGCAAGCTGCTTCCATACTTTCTTTCTGACCCATTCTCCTTTACTTTTCCTTATCTCTAGTGATCACTGTTCCATTCTGTACTTCTACAAGGTAGACTTATTGGTTTCCATCAATGAGTTACAATATGTAGTATCTGGCTTGCTTCATTCAACATAACATTCTTGGTGGAACTTACATTCCTGTGGATGGAAAGGATGAACTAATTATACAATTATCATTTTTATAATTATGGATTGTATGGGATTCAAAGGGAATCTTCTGGGGATCTCAATTAATTGTACGAGATGGGAGAGGGCTTCCTTAAGGAAGTGAACTCTATGGCATGAATAAGAGTTAAGAATTAATGAGGCAAAAAATGCAGAACACAGAGGGAAATGTGCAAAGGCACTGTGGTAGAGGTACATGACCCTGGAGCTCTTGAAGAATTGAAAAAATACAGTGTGGGTGAAACTCAGCAAGGGAAAAGTGGTGGGGTACATGAGAATAGAAACAGGAAGGGCTTCGGTGACTTATTATGGCACAATATCTTAACTCATTTGTATTCACTAATATCTTTGCATTAAAATTCAGCACTAGCAACCTGCTCAAGATTCCATCACTAGAGCAAGGTAATACCTGCACTCAGATCCATTTCTGTCCAACACCCATGTGTAAGTCCTTTTTGTGACCCTAACCGTCTCTTTCACCAGTTTCTTCTGCCTTAGGAGTGTGATGTTTCATCACAAATTATAGAAATCCAGAAATTACAGATCTGGATTTAAATACAGAATTTCTTCACACAGAAAAAGAGCAGCTGTGCTTGTATGTAGACATAGAAACAGTAAAGAACAATCTAGAAAGGATCAAAAATATCAATCTTAGGGAAACTGATCTTCCTTTATGAAGGAAAAAATTTACCAGCACCTTCTAATCAGCCCTATGTTGATTCAAAAGGACTTCTATTTCTGGGCCCTAATATATAGTTAAGATCAATACAAACTGCCACTTTTTGTAGCTAGGGTATACCATATTATGAGTAAAATTGAAGCAATGGGATAGGACATTCTGGGACATGGTCAATGACAGAAAATTGTATAAATCTTCAAAAAATTTTGATCATATTCCAAAATCAATAATGTACATAATTAATCCAATCCTCTTCCAGATGGTTTGAGGAAAACTGAGTTAAATTCTAGAAGAAATGGTTAGTATACGAGATATAAACTGAACAAATAAAAACTCCATTCCAATCCCAAAATAAAACACTGAAAAATCTGCAGCAGATGGTATGGATAAATGTCTGACAAAGGCAGAAATGATTTTTTTTTATCATCAGCAACATGGATTTGAGAGCAAGACAAGGAGATTGAATTATAGGCAATACGGTATTGATTTTTGAAAATGGAAAAAAGATTGATTCTGGCTAGTACCTGAGGTAAACTCTGATCTCTATTAAAATATTCAGCTGGATTCTAGCATCAAAGAGGGACCTCAGCAGGCTCTCCTGAGACCTAGGGGAGGGAGTTAGAAATGAAGCATCCATCTTCCCATTCTTCTCCATGAACCCCGAGAGGTAGCCAACTGTATGCTCACAGCACTACACCCCCTGACCCTGGAGGACAAGCATGGTTGACCTTAGAGTGAAATTTCCAACATTCTTCCAGCACATGGTCAGGAAGACGGCTGAGCAGGGAGGGAGCCCTTGCTAAAACTATCATCAGTGTCCTGGCCACTAAAAGCACACTGCAGTTACTTGGAGGAGTGAAGGGGATGGGTTGTGATATGTGCATCCTCAGCTTGTTTCTTCTCTTAGGAATTATTTCTTTGCCCTTCATTCCAGCTACAACTTGGTGAGAGAGAAAAAGAAGCTCAAGTCATTACAGCATATCAAAGACATCCTCCAATAGAGTTCCCAAACCAACACCAAAAATGTCTGCCTTGGCCACTATGGAGGCCACTGCAAAGTCAGAGCTCAGCATAAGAACAGCCTCTTTCTCTTTCTCCCTTTCCAGAACACCTCAGGGGCCACCATTCTTTACATTTCTGCAGCCACCTTTCCCACAAGTAAAATGTTAAAATGCAAGACACTAGGAGAACTTTGTTTTAAAGAAAAACATGGCTTAAACATGTAGATTTATGTAATACCAGCCCTTTCCCCACCTTATTTACTTTTACTAATATAAACTTCTTCTCATTCCTCATCTTCCTGCATTAGAACACTTGATTTGACAGCCAATTGTCTCAGAATCCCAAGATTTGAGCATATTGTCCTCATGTCCATTGTGATGAATGTAGCTAGTGAATTGTCAGCCTCCTGTGATTTGTGATTCTCTGTGTAGGTTCCATGGTCAGAATATAATGCCTGGATTAATATTCACATCACTTAGGAATTTGGTAGAAAAACACAATCCAATGCCCCACCAAGACTTGCAGAACCGAAATCTGCATGTTAATCCCCAGGTAATTCTTTAGTACATTAAAGAGAGCTTGTCTGATGTGTAAGGTATCTGCCACTTCCCAGAAAACACATTGGCAGTAAATCAATTAAATATTAACTGTGTCATTAGCATGGGATTCTATAGAGAAGATGTAAGACAGAGTTGTTACTGCTATTTACAGCCTAGCAGAATTTATGTCCCTTATAAGAAACACTTAGGGACCTAATGAGACTATACATATAGAAATGGTGTTAATGCCACAGAAGTTCGAAGAAAAGAGAACTTGATGTGGACGGGCCATGGAGAAAGCAGTAATTGAACTAAGCATAAGTGGGATCCTACTAAAATATAACTACATGGAAGCTTTTCCAAAACTAAAATAGATGGTTTGAGTTGTCAGGTAGCATTTACAAACCATGTGAACCTTAATAAATCATTTATACTTTCTGGGCATTAAAAAGCCAAGAAGGTGACACGGTGCAGTGGAAACAGTAAGGTTTGGTGTCAGATGGACCTGGCTCCAGTTCTAGCCAGACTGTGGCACTTTGGAACATTTACTTTCCCTTGCTGAGCCTCACAATCCTGCTGAAATGGGAGAATACTACCTGAGGATCATATAATAAGAGATACACAAAGTTCCCTGCACAGCCTCTGTGACACACTGGGTAACAGTCGGACATTAGCATACTACTATTCCTCCCCCCTCCCTCCGGCAAATGTGCAGTAAATCTGGGTCTGGACTTGCAAAGAAATGCAGATGAGACCCTCCTTGAAGATCTCAAGTTGATGGGTAAGAAGTAGAATCATGCTGCAAAGAGAAATAACATAAGAGCTGCTGAGCAGGGCGTTCAGAATGTGTCAGAGAGTCAGGTGCTGGCTGGCGGTGGACTGGCAAGTTCACTGAGCAGAGGAGTGCAGAAGGACACTAGGCTTCCACGGCACAGCTAACCACTGTGCTGGTTGTTTGTCTCTTTAGTCTCAGATCCATTCTCTAAATTTCCCCTGCTTTAGTCTATGTATATGGACACTAGATCTCTTGTCCAGTGGCTCCTCTGTAGGATCAGCCAACAGGAGGCTAGAAGGCTTAACAGGAGAAAGAGGAAAGAAGCTGGGATTTTCACCCAGTCCTCTCCCTGCCATACTGGCATCTTGAGCAGTGTAATTTCTCCTGCAAACTCCAACTTGCAGAGATAGTCCACTCTACTGGGCTGCCAGTCTCTGGCTCTAGTGATACCTCTCCTCCTCCTGGGGTCTCCTCATCCTAAGATTGGAATAGTTTCCAGCCATTTCCCAATCTCTGGGGCACTTCACCGTGACATCTTTGGCTTCTCAGTTTTAACCCAATGACAGTGTCCTGTATCAGGTTCCATCTATTGAAAGATGAAACATGGTTTATGTCTTCTGACTAGCCTTTCACTGACATAGCATCTAAACCAAAACCTATTTCAGATTATTTTTGTGTAATTATGATAGAAAATATATAAATATAAGCTTCATCATGATTAATCTCCTTGTGAAAAGGAGGATAAGAGTTAAGTTCAGAATTCTTCAAGCAAAAAATATCACAGACCTACTAATATAGAACAAGTATTAATCTGTGACTGCACCGTATCACACTTTATCATTTGTATAGGTGGTCCAGAAAAGTGAATGTGAATGCAGATATTAATTCCACAGATGTAATTTGAGAGGTGTTATAATACCCAAAGCATAAATAATAATCATAATTCACTTAGGGAAGCTGAAGAGAAGGATCCCAAATTCAAGCACACCTTGAACAATTTAGTGACTTAATAAGACCCTGTTTAAAAATAAACAATTTTTAAAAGGGCTGGGAATGTGGCTCAGTATGAAGGATTCACTCCCTAGTACTGCAAAACAAATAAACACAAACTGGCAGTTACAGAGTATGGGTACAATGTAACTGAGAAACTCATAAAAATACATAGCTGGATCAAAATAGCAAAATGATATGCTGCCCGAAAAATGCATGGCTGTGTAGCTAAGAGAATATAATCAGAAACATGGCAACTCCATGGGTAGAGAAGAATATAAGAAATGAATCAAAAGGACTAAGAAGTGACAATACAAACTTAGACATAATTTCAAAATGATAGACAAAAAGAGCCAGGTTATTTTGAGCTCAAGGCAGTACAGATACTCTGGCTGTACTGTTGTTTAAATCGATGTGCTCTTTCCAAACTGCTTCCAATTCTCACAGTACTGACTGTTCCAAAGTCAACAATGCCTCACCCTGTTTTGCATACCTTGATAAAAAAAATAAGGAAAAATGTCAAAAATCGTAAGGTTTCAATATGAAATCTAGTCCAAAGGATAACAAGCTGGAGGACACGAGGAACAAAGGAAGCTAAAAGAGCCAGCTTGGCTGAGCTGTCGTACTTCTAGCATAGGCCCAAAGAAAATCAGGCATATTGTGCGGGACAAACAAATTCCAATTAGAGAATACACTTCAGTGCTGACCTAATTATCTAGTGTCCACTTCTCATTTTGTATTAGATGAGTCCAGGCACGTAAAATAAATTCTTGGACACTGCTCTTTCTAATAAGGAAAATTACTTCCTCTTTCTCCATGAAGCCCCAGATGGTCAGCAAACAAAATCTCAGTATATTATTTTTTGTTTCATTTGACTCTTGAATATTGGTTCTATAAGGATAATATTGACTTCCAGAGGTTCAACAGCATGTTTCCATGTGGTTAAGAAGGTTTTTCCCTGGGCAAAGCAGGAGCTCAAAAGAAAGAC